GCATTACAGTGTTTAACCAACAGGTGGAGACAAACCGCCATCACAACCCCTCACTCACTGCACTGACACTCACTCACTCATTCATTCAGCTTAGTCACTTTAGTCATCAGGGGTCACCACAGTGGAATGAACCGACAACTACTCCAGCATATGTTTCACACAGTGGATGTGTGTAATCAATCACTATAATCAGGTCAATCAGTGGTGTTTGTTCTACAGTGAGCAACTCTTCTCTTTCTGGGCTGTGCAGTTTAATTCACTGAGTTTCTATGTTGGTCACTGTAAACTCAGACTGTTTGGTCACATTAATAACCAATGCTTATTTCCCTTTTTTACAGTGGTGTAATGTAACTCATTATAAATACTCAGATGTCTGTAATGGAGCAGTGTTTCTCAGGATTTGTAATTTACAGAGTAGTTTTCATCATGTGTGCTTTTACTCTCTGTTGAGCTCATGTTTACTGCAGTATCAGCACTGTTACTCCACTACTGTCCTCCAGCCTGCATCTCTACTGTATTGCTCTTGTCTACGGGGATTAGAGAAATCAGTGCTGTGACTTCTGTCCAATCAGATCAGAAAAGTGTCCAAGAAGATGTCCAAACCCTGTCCACACACTGACCCAGAGACTGTTCAGATGCTGTCACTGATGAGATGGCGGATGTTTCCTGTATGATGACTGAAATGGCGTCATGACATCAGATTGACGTTGTACCCCAATGTTGTGGAGACGCTGCATTTTGTTTGGAAATGTAATGGTCTGACATCAGAACTCAGCATCAGGCTGACATCAGTGGCCAACATCCAACCTAAAATCAACCAATAATCAACGTCTAATGATGTCACAGCTTGAGGTTGTGTGGACGTTGCCACTATGACGTCTATCAGACGTTGGATTTTGGTTGCCGTACCTGACTAATAAACGTCAGTATGTGACGTCAGTGTGATGTTGGTTTGAGATGTTGGCTCAGCGTTGGATTAAGGTCTCGTTCCAACACAACCTAAAATCAACCAAATTTCAACATCATTTAATGTCGTTATCGGACATCAGAATAACGCTGACTTACACACTGCCGAGACATTGAGTCTTCATCACCTGACATCATGAAATCTACGCTAATATTAACGGCTGATGAGTTTGTGTCGATTCTGGGCTCGACTGTAAAGGCTGTGTGTGTGTGTGTGTGTGTGTGTGTGTGTTGATGTTCCTCCTCTGGTGTTCTGTTGTTTCTGAACTCTTCTTTACTGTAGAAGTGGCTCAAACTCGCTCATTCAGATGCGGGAGCCGGCAGACGTGCAGCATCATTAATCATGAGGTGAACACAGAACATCAGTCTCCATCTGCAGCTCCTTCACTGGACTCCACACATGTGAACACTCTCTGCATCGGGCTCACGGCTCTCAGCTCCGCCCACACTCGCCACAGCTGCCAAGCCGACCAATCACAGAGCTTGTGCTACGCACTGTTGTGATGTGTAGTGACATGTTCAGAGAGGTGCGCATCAGCATCAGCATCAGCCATGGCCAGCAGTGTGTGACCGTGTGGAGGCTGCGCCAGACCATACGCATGCACACCACGGCATTCTGGAGACCCAGAGTTACTATCAGGGGGCCCAAACCAAGCCCACTTCCCTAATACACCCCTCCGCTCTTCACTTACACCTGCAACTCGTCTTGAAGTCAGTGTGTGTGTGTGTGTGTGTTCACCTGTGATGTGTTTGGGCAGGTCCTGACTGTATCTGTGACCCTCCGCCTGATGACCTCTGACCCAGCCGGACGCCTGTGACCCCTGACCTCTGCTGCTGTACTGAACACTCCTCGGCTGATTCTTCATCTTCTTCTCTCTCATTCGCTCCTTTGCTCCCGGCATCTGAAACACACACACACACACACACACACACACACACACACACACACACACACACACACACACACACAAGATGATTAAACAGGAACATCACACACACACTCACACTACAGAGGATCATACAGTAGCATTACACACACACACACACACAGATAGCAGTACTGCAGATGATCATACAGAACATCACTCTCTCTCTCTCTCCCTCACACACGATGATCAAACAGGAACATCTCTCTCTCTCTCTCTCTCTCTCTCTCACACACACACACACACACACACACACACACACACACACACACACACACACACACACACACACACACACACACACACACTAGTGCCTCTCTGATCAGCGCTTCTCGGTTACCGGGCGATCATGCTCCCGTCACTCACCTTCGGTCTCCGTTTCCCGCGCAGTTTCACTCGGTTTCATCGGTTTGTGTCAGTTTTCCGTTTACACGCCGCTGCTCGCTCTCGAGAACCGACAGCACAGTACACGTGCACGGCTGCCTTTATTTCCGGTTTAGAGGATGCTGGGAAGTGTAGTCCAGGATGAACACTGAGCATGTCCGCCGCGGTTCCGATGATCATGTGTTGTCGGTTTGCGCATTTCTGATCATTAATGACACACTGAACTCATTACAAATAAATCAAGCGAAACAGGCCATCCACACTTAATTTGGGAATCTAAAACCCGAGCACAAATCAACATTATAGACCACACAGTGTGTGTGTGTGTGTGTGTATGCTCATAATAAGTAGTAAGGTTATTTAGAAATAAATGAATGTACTCTTAGTCTGAAATATACAGCAGATGAGTCACTGAGCAGGCCTGTGTCTGTTCAATATCACAGCGGTGTGTGTGTGTGTGTGTGTGTGTGTTCCTCCAGCAACAACACCACTGAGTAATAATGTGAGCTATTCACTATACAGAGCATTTTGAGGGATGTAAACAAAAACAATAGTCCCAACATATTTCCTGTTGTACAATTGTAATTTCTATACAGCTCCTGAGAATATAATAACAGCCACATGATGATAATAATGTGATTATAGCTGTTTAACATCCAGTTCTGATTGAATCGCCACATTACGGTTAAAATAGTTTGATGAGAAGCAGGAAATGCTCATGAACCAGTCAGCACCACACTGAAACGCTCTATATCATGTGTTTACATTGGGCGGCACGGTGGTGCAGTGGGCAGCACTGTCACCTCACAGCAAGGTCGCTGGTTTGAGTCTCGGCTGGGTCAGTTGGTGTTTCTGTGTGGAGTTTGCATGTTCTCCCCGTGTTGGCGTGGGTTTCCTCCGGGTGCTCTGGTTTCCCCCACAGTCCAAACACATGCGCTATAGGGGAACTGATCAACTACACTGGCCGTAGTGTATGAGTGTGTTTGGGTGTTTCCCTGTACTGGGTTGAGGTTGCAGGGAATCTGCTGTGTAAAACATAACCTGGAATAGTTGGCAGTTCATTCCACTGTAGTGACCCCTGATGAATAAAGGGACTCAGCTGAGTGAATGTGTTGATATTGTCTCATACTGCAGCACATCAAGAACTACATGCTTCCATCATCCGGGAAAATCTCCATGATCAGACAGTTCAGGAGAGAATGTGCGCAATAAACACACTGTACTCGTGGTGGAAATGAGCCGTCAAATACTGCAGCAACATGATAAAGAGAGAGAAGCAGAGATAGAGAGAGCTGTCCACATGAGCGCAGGATTGACTTGATCATTATCCTGGAAGGACATTAGTGCAGTGCAGCATGTGTGTGTGTGTGTGTGTGTGTGTGTGTGTGTGTGTGTGTGTGCTCCTGAACACGCTGATGTGTGTGTCTGTCTGTGAGTGTGTGAATGTTTATGTGTGTGTGTGGTCATTCAGTGTTGTTCTTCAGATGTGGCTCTTCTTATGATCAGGTGTGTGTGTTAGAGCTGGGGTTCCCAAACTTTCAGCCCCCCCACGCCCCCCCGAACCACAGTGTTAGTGTGTGTGTGTGTGTGTGTGTGTGTGTGTGTGTGTGTGATGCTCATGATGATGATGTCGTCTGGCTCTTCTGCATCTCCAGCTCCTTCATCTGTCTCCAGAAGGACCAGCAGATCTGATCACACACACACACACACACACACACACACACACACACAGTCAGTATATATACTCCACTATATCACTGCTTGCTCTTCATTACCCTCAGTAATAGTAATAATAGTGAGTTGGTCGTTGAGTAAAGCATAAAGTACGACTGACCAATCAGAAGCCAGTATGTCAGACAGCTGGGTGATTCTCTGCTGACAGTGGTCTGGAATGCTGGCTTCTGATTGGTCAGTTGTGTGGAGTGTGTGTTATTGGCAGGTTAGTGTGTGTGTGCTCCGTCAGCTGTTCATGTCTGTCAGCGTCGCCTTTAATCACAGATTTAACTATAACAGCTCACCACAGGCTGCTGTGTCCGAGTGTTGCTGTGTGTGGCCAGGAATAAACAGGATAAAGCTCATCCAGACGGTTGTGTGTGTGTGTGTGTGTGTGTGTGTGTGTGTGTGTGTGTGTGTGTGTGTTTAACCCTCTCTGATGAACCCCACGGCTCTGAATGACCTCTGACCTTAAACGCAGCTCTGTGGTCCTCCTTCCCAGAGTTCTGCTCTTCATCGCCAGCCTCCTCCTCCTCCACCACCTCCTCCTGCAGCACAACATCTGATTAGAACACACTCAAACACACTCAAACACAGCGGTCAGTGTGAGACGAGGGTTCTGCAGGTGTGAGGGTCACCTGAGAGCGGCTGTCGCTCTGCTCATCTGTCTGTCTGCTCCTCCGCCTGTCGCTCTGCTTCTGGTCCAGCACTCGCAGCAGAGCGTCCGCACACACAGACGAGCGCAGCGCACAGAACTCCGGCCAGTGCTTCAGCAGCTCCTCAAACACACACATCTGACACACACACACACACACACAGAGGTCAGCAGACAGGTGTGTGTCGGTGTGTGTGTCTTCAGTGTCAGCACACCTGAGTCTCCCTGAAGATGTAGGGTCCGAGTGTTTTCTGCATGCTGGTGACGAGCAGCGCCGCGTCTGGAGGAACGTGGATCTGCAGCGCCGGCGGGACCGAGGAGCGGAAGAACCGACTGATGATGATGGAGACCTTCCT